AAAAACGTGAAGTGCCAAAGTTGGATAGAGGGTGATCAGCACAAAGATGACACTATGCTCATCTGGGGAGCTGTAAAGAGAGGGAGCTTGGCTGGGAGAGAGAGGGTTCAAAGATAGGAATGAGGCTGTATTTCTTAAATTGGAAAGTGGATTTATGGACATCCGGGTTATTTTTATTCTTTAAAATATATGTGTGTGTGTGTGTGTGTGTGTGTGTGTGTGTGTGTGTGTGCAAGGTATATTTGAAATTTAAAAAAATAATAATTTTTGATCATAAAAAGGGAGCATGAGAAATTGAGAGTTGAGGTTGTTATGGCACAGAAACGAGGTGTTAGAGGAGATGCACAGTCAAGGTAAGATTTTGTTTTGATGAAGATTTGATGCTGATGGAATTCATGCTGAAAGAGAATTTGGAGATCTTGGGAAGGAGGAGAGCACAAAAGAGTCAAAGTTCACCTGTCATCCCCTAGTGTGCTGCTCCCTAACACCATCACTTTACCATTTATTCCACTGTGCACAGTTTACTTGAAAATGTTTTAATGGGTTATATGCATAGCTGTGCGCATATGAATTCAATCTCACCTAGACTCTAGGATCAGGTGATTCAAGGTGGAGAATGCTAATCAGGGGAGCATTGGAGAGGCCCTAATCAGGAGTTCATAGTCAAGCGGTTCTCCAGCCAGCCTTTCCAATGCTTCCAAAGTTCCACAAGAGGATTCATGAATTAGCATAATAGATGTCAGAAATAATTTGTTCATTGGATAATTGGGTGACATTTAAGATACGCAGTAGATTTAAAATTGCAAGAGAGGAGCTTTACCCCTTAGAAAGATGGCAGCCTAGGGATCTGGGGAGCCCAAGAGGCTAACAGTGCTAATCCCCTGGGATACTCACTCTGTGCAGAGCCACATGGTGAGGGTTTTTTCCCAATGCAAGGAGGAGAGTTAATCCCACCTCACAGCATAGCCACATTGGTCTCTGAGCCCTCTTAAAATGTGAGGGGTTGGTGGGGAAACCATAATGCTCCTCAGAGTCTAAGGGTTAGCTGCAAGATTATAGGGGAGGCTTGTAAATAAATGTCTGAAAGGAGCAGAGATTGGTTTGAGCCATTGATGGCCTCAGTGACATGCCACTTGGTAGAAACATTCACACATGGGGAGAAATAACTAATTCCCTCCTAGTTCTCATTGTCAGAGGCTATCTCTAGTTACTGAAAGATCTCGACAAATGTGAACACACAGACAACTCTCACTTAAGCTCCCACACAGGAAACCAACTGCTCCATCTTATATAGTAATCACTATTAGAATAAGAAGTTTCTCTCTCTCTCTATTCCTTCCCACCTACAATTTTCCAGGCACTTCTTCAAACATTTAATATGAATTAACTTTTATATTTTTCACAACAAACCTAAGTGGCCAGTATATCAATAGCCACCTTTTACAGAAGGGGAAATTGAATCAGAGAACAGTGAAGTTGTCCAAAGTCACATAACTGTCATTCAAACTGAGCTGATTACTGGGCTCAGAAACCAATCTCTTAACCACGAATGTGACATTTCTAACTTTCAGAACGGTGAGATTTTTAAAAAAAAATATGTGCTGTGTCACACCGCTAAGTTGGTCATTGTTTTAACAGCAACACAAGAATGCAGCCATCCTACTCCCCCATACAAGCACAAACCTAATTCTTTGCATATAATTAGAATTTGTAAAGATGTGAATGAATATACACTTGCTGAGGTTATTAAAATTATCAAAAAGGGATGCAGAAAAAAATATATTTATAAGGAAAAATTACATAATCATGAACTTCAAAGAATTGGCAAGGATACTGATTTTAGAGACCAAAGGATCAGATTTTGTCTAGCAATGCCTGGATTACTTGAGCAGGTCTTTTCATTCCCCAGTATCTGTGTTGAAGAATAAGGAAATTGCATTAACTCATCTTGAACTTTCTGGTGTTAAGAATGACATTCTTAAATAAATTTTTCTTTATTCCCACTTATTTGGACCAAATAATAATGCCTCCCAATTTTTCTTCTCAGACAGCCCAAACACATCAGAAGCAGACCTAATAATGAGATTCATGAGGAAATGCTCAAAGCCGAATTTAAGCAGCACCATCTAATAGAACCCTCGAGGTTCCTGTCTCCACTTTTAACAGATTCTTCTGAGTGGCTTGTCATTCATCACAGAAACTGATCACACAAACCACCCAGGGCGTCGATCATGTTTATTGAGGTCTTTTGTTTGTATAACCTTCTCGTCTCTGCAGAATGCACAGAATGAGAATTTCTGACATCTTTTGCTCTGCTGCAAAATGCTAGACATGTGTATTACACCAAGGATCTTGGCCTTTGGTGGCCAGCTCAGTGGTTTTACAGTTAGCAATAGAGTATGCTTGTATGTGCTGTATAGCTAACACTACTGTCAGTATAAAATCTCAGAGGAGGTTGTACGGGGAGAAAGAAGGAAGGAGAGAGGGGAGATAGTGTGGAAACTGGAAAATGCTTAAAGCTATTTGGCCTTTGCATCCACAACAGGGAAGACTATTTAAATAGTTGTGGGGTTGTGTAGCTCCACCTAGAATTCAGTTGGGATAATGAAGAAAATACAAGAAAACGAATTAGATGCAGAGAACTGAACAAAATCATTGTCACATGCAGAACATGAGAGAACCCCAGATGGGCCCATGTTGCAAATCTTGGGGCAGATAACATAATCCGGGCGCAGTAGGCATGTCTCACAGCCAAACAAGGTAGCCCACAGTGTGCAGAACATGCAGATGAAGAGAAACCCTCCAAGTCTTACAACATTCTTTTCTCAGACAACGGAATTGCATCCAGTCTGGTTATGCAAAACACAGCCAAAGCATTTTCCTTTCTTTTTTCTATCCTAGTACGATGAAGGGATAAAAATATGAAGAAATGCAGAGAAGCAGAAATAACTTTACTAGTAAAGGAAGTAAAGCTACATGACAACCTAGAAAAGAGACATACAGTAACAGACTTGCTGAGATGGATCCATTGGGTACCCCAAAGAAGCAGAACTCTAGGCTGGGGAGAACACGTGAAGGTCAGCCTTCTGCCCTTTGGTGGGTGCCCAGGAGCACACACAGGCGATATCTTCACACGTCTGATTCATCTTGGCCTTCACTTTCTCTTCTCTCTCACTTTCCCTACCCCAATGGGGAAAAAAATTAAGAATTGACAGAAGATGTCTTCCAGCACCCCTTTACTTCCATAATGAGAAAGACACACAATTTAATTTTTTGTCCCATCTACACAGCAAAAACTAAAATAATGTAAAATAAAAATGTCAAAAGCAGGATAAAATGGAGTTCCTCTCTCCCACCCCCCCCCAAAAATCAGGATGCTTTGTAAAGAGAAGAAATGATACTGGGCAACCAAAATGCAATCAGTATCCACATAGAACTTCCTCCATCAGCTTCTGCCTCTTGCAGGGAGCGCCAACCACTCACATCTTAATGAAGCAGAGATGCCTTTAAAAAAGAGGGAGTGGATCTATCCAAAGCTTTATTAAAAAGATGGCAAAAATTTCCCCTGACCTCACTGATCAGCACTATAAATAAAAATTCAATTAACTCTCCCAGACTGTCAGTGTGTTCCAGCAATATAATCCCTAGATTAATTGACTCTGACCTCTTTAAAATTTCCATTAAAAAATGTAAGACACTGACTTATCATCACTGAAAATTAGAATAAGGTATACCTTTGGTCATTTTTGTTACTTTTATATTGACGTCTTTGTGATTCATGCTATATGACTCTTTCTCAAGAATTAGGTCTCCTAAATTTGATCATCTAGAAACGTATGCTTCTCTATGCCATTTTCTAAAAGCCAAGAGGCTTCCTCCTCTTTTTAATGTGGGAACATTTTATTCAAAAAAATTTACTAGAGAATGCTATTCTGGTCTCTCAAGAACCTGTTGTTTTCTCTATTTTGAGTGGTGAATGTCATGTGTTAAAGGCTTGGTCCACAAGGTGGCGCTATTGGAAGATGGTGGAGCTTCAGGAGGTGGAGACTAGTGTGTGGGGGGGGGTCTTTAGATAAGGGGGTGTGCCCTTGAAAGGGATTGTGGGACCACTGTCCCCTCCACATTCTGAAGTGAGTGGTTGAACTTGCTATCCACTCCCACCATGAAATTCTGCCTGGCCCAAAGCAATGGGGCTCCCAACTGTGGACAAGAACCGCTAAAACTCAGCCAAAGTAAACCTTTCCTCTTCATAAGTTGATTATACTCAGGTGTTTGTTACAGTAATGGAAAGCCAACTCACATGCTGTCATAATGTTTTACATCTAAAATTATACACAATTATTGTAACTAGATTTACAGACAACTAAATGCTAAGAATTTGCATATGCACACTGGCAGACATGTATATATTCAATATTTACCTTATACATAAATTTTGCCAGACTACATTAGGTGGTTGTTTGTTAACATGTCCAATTCTGGTTCTAAGACTATAGTTTTATCACTCTAAAACAGGTGATGAGATTGGATCTAGAAAGGTTAAGTGGAAAAAATAAGCGTTAGATCAATATGTACACTGTGTTCCTGTAGAATTTTTTTGGGGGGGGGAAGGAGGGTGGGGGTTACTGGGGATTGAACTCAGGAGCACTCGACCACTAAGCCAACTCCCCAGCCCTATTTTGTATTTTATTTAGAGACAGGGTCTCACTGAGTTGCTTAGCGCCTCACAGTTGCTGAGGCTGGCTTTGAACTGGAGATATTCCTGCCTCAGCCTCCTGAGCCATTGGAATTACAGGCATGCACCACCGGCACCCAGCTATCCTCTTGAATTTTTTAAAATAACCATAATTACACATATATATATATATATATATATATATATACACACACTAGCTTATGATTGGATTTTCTGGGTAACTAATTAATCCTGACACCTTAGTCATAAAACACAATAAAGGTATGTTTTGCTCACATGCATATGTGTGTGTGTGTGTGTGTGTGTGTGTGTTTGTGTGTGTAATTCCGAAATGCAAAATGAGAGAGGAACTCTAATCCACACAGTCACTCAGAGCCCCAGGCTGATGGAGCCTCCATTACTTTATTATATCTGTACCATTTGGAAGATGGAGTCTTCAGTGTTTGCAACAAATTAAGTCAGCTCATGGGGAACTCACTCTGTCACATGCATCAGCCTGGCAATGAAGAATGACACTTTTGTTTATGGTATACATCCCCAGCTATAGTATACATCCCTTCTCATCGAGGCTGTGAGAAGGCTAGGATTAGGAAAGCATGTGGATATCTGGTTAGCAGCAACTCTGTCTGACACAATCTGCATAGATGTAAAATGTAAATAAAACGTTTCCAGGGGAAAGATATATTTCATGGGTATCTTTGGAGAAGAGAATGGGATTAGGAGGAAAAAAAATGATTCTACTTTTTATTCCATATGCTTCCAAATTTCTGCCTTCTTAAACTACAACGTAGGTGTCCCATTGGGTTATTGAATAAAAATGTTTTCCATGCTGTTCATTACAGAGTTATTCAGAGATGATGCCGTTCAAATGAAACTGGTAAATAAGAGGTTAAAATGCAATCCAGAAAGTTTCCTTCTGTGGCTCAGTGTGGAGAACGGGCCCTGGTTTTCAGGGATCAGCCAGGGCTCTGTATGATTTAGTGGCTGTTGTGTGATCAATGGCTGAAATGATGGAGTGGAGAGCCTGCTGATTAAGTTCACGGATAAAGCTATGTTAACTAAAGCTTTGGGAGCCCGTGATTAAGATCCAAACTGGCCTGTCACAAGTGAGCTATGGCCAAGTGTGGGTGTGAGTGTAGTTGGGGGGTGAAGGATGAATCTCTGAAGACTGCAAGGGTCACACCAAAGCGCTTCGGTGCCTCTGGATTCAGAGTAAATCACAACGCCCGATGAATGTCTGGAATAAATGGGGTTGCTTCAAGAGACGTGGCCTTGCTCACCCATTTCAAGTGTTCAGAGAAGCCGGGAGGGCAAGGGAAAACACTTACACTCGGGGCTTGCTGTGTTCAAGATCATCAGGCCAAAAATCAAGAATGCAAAGAGAGATACTAAACAGGGTGGACTGTGCATTGGGTCATGCGGAACTGTCCCAAATAAAGCAGACATCGTCACCATCTTCTGGGAGTTTATGGCTGTTATGGGGTCCCCCAAAAAAGCTCCTGTGGGAGACAAACAAGAAAGTTTAGAGGTGACATGTTTGGGATATGAGAGCCTGAACCTAACCAGTGCATTAATCCACTTGAATGGATTAACTGGGTCATAATGGTAGGAAGGTCGGGTGTGGCTGGGGGAGGAGGGTCCCTGGAGGCATGACTTGGGAGTTTACATTTTTTACATTTTGTCCCTGGTTATCACTGTGTGGGTGCTCTTGTCCCAGGTCTCTCTCCTCCTCCATGGCCACCGCCTGAGTTGTCTTTCTCTACCAGGCTCTTCCACCATGCAGTGCTCTGCCTCACCCCAGAGCTAGGGAGTCGGCTGTCTGTGGACTGAGGTCTCTGAAGCAGTGAACCCCCAATTCACTTCCTCTCCTCTGTGTTATTCTGGTCAGATCCTTTGGTCATATCCTGGAGAAAAACTGTCTACAACCGTGGTCTAGCTACTTTCTTTACATCCAAGACTTCTGTCTCGTGGTCTCTCAGTTGATTTGTTCCAAGGGCTCTCTCTTCAAAGTGTGGACCCAGGACTTTCGGCAACAGGTTCTCCCGGGAGTTTACTAGGAATGCAGAGTCTGAGGGTCCGTCTGAGACCTGCTAAATCAGACTCTGCTTTTTAACAAGGTCCCTGAGGTGGCTCACATGCACACGCCCACGTGGAAAGTGCCGTGGTAGATGATATCCACTCCCTACCCAACCTGTACTCTGTACCGTGAAGGAGAAAGACTCCTTCCTTACGCTGCCTAAAAATGAGGAGGCCAGAGAAATATAATATGTGAGAGGCAAAGCAGACTTACACGATGAAGGAGTCAAAGACAAAATGCAAAGAGAAAGATCCAGACAGAGGGAGTCTGTAGGTGAAGTTCAAAGACATATACAGACAGGAATGAGACAGAGATGGTGGACAAGTACAAATAGCTATAGAAGAAGGGGTCTGGCATGGTGGCACATGCTTGTAATCCCAGGGGCCAGGAGGCTGAGGCAGGAGGATCTCGAGTTCAAAGCCAGCCTCAGCAACTTAGCGAGGCCCTAAGCAACTCAGTGAGACCCTGTCTCTAAATAAAATGCAAAACAGGACTGGGGATGGGGCTCAGTGGCCAAGTGCCCCTGAATTCAATCCCTGGTACCCTCCCAAAACAAAAAACAAAGGAGGGGGAAACAAATTTGCAGATGTACTGCTACATGATGTCTCCATTAACCACTTTTTAGAGAATTCATGAACTATTTCAATTTCTTTGGTTGTCACTACATGATTCTTTTATGTGAAATTAGATAAGGTCACCATGGACCCAAGTTTGTGTTACTTATACAGCTGTAGGCTTCTCTTGTCCTTCTGAAGAAGGAAGGCAGGAAGGAAAACAAAAATTTAAGACAATTCCTACAATCTAAATATGCAGTTACCATTCTACACTATTTCAAAAAAAATTATACGCACACACACACACACACACACACACACACACATTTTTCCATCACTTCACAATCTTTCTGTTAGTCTCTTTACTGAATTATTTAATGATGCGAAAGTAGAGCTAGATTCCCAAGTAGCAATAATTTAGCAGTTCCACTAAAGAAGGGGGGACAAGACAGATCCTTGGAGCTGATTTTAGCTCTGTGTTCTGTACAGTGTGAATGAAAATAAAAATAATCTCCAACTTGTGAAACCAGAATCGAGGTGAGCATATTTCAGCATTGGATTGGAGCTAAATAGATTCCTTGAGCATCAACCACCATTACTCCGTGGACATCACAAAGGGGATCGATTTTAGAATCTAAAAGAGTGAAGACGACAGTGGAACAGGGAATTCGTAAACCTCTTGGTAGAATATCATAACTGCAGCATCTGAGACTGCTTGCATAATCCGCGTACATCACAAAAAAACTGTCACAAAAAATCTGGGATGATCATTGGAGATGAAATGATGGCACTCTTTGGGAAAAAAGTAACTCATAACAGCTATCTTTAAAATAGTTTTTCAATCTTTTTGGTGTGATTTTTTTTTAATAGGGATTGAACCCAGAGGCATTTAACCTCTGACCCACATCCCCATCTCTTTTTTGTATTTTATTTTGCGACAGGGTCTCATTGAGTTGCTTCGGATCTCACTAAATTGCTGAGGCTGACTTTGAACTTGCGATCATCCCGCCTCAGCCTCCCCAGTGGTGGGATTACAGGTGCCCCCACTTGGTGTGTTTTCAATTTAAACTCCAGGTTGAGAATTCTGATGACAACAAACCAGAAAGGATTTTGCTTTTATTGATGCACATCTCTTCCTGCTTGATCTGGATATGTAGTTAGCTTCAGAACAGTGTCAGATTTTAAAGGAACTAGGTACCCTTTCTATATAAGTGGTTTCTAATTAGCCCATGGTAAGTGAACTTTAAAACACACACACACACACACACACACACACACACAGGATGGCGAGAAAAGTGCTGGGCTTTGTCAAAATATGGTCTATGTGCTGAATTTTTAAAGGAATGATCTCTAATTGCTGGTGTGGATATCACTGAAGTCTTCCAGATTAAAAGAGAGAGAGAGAGAGAGAGAGAGGGAAAGGGAATTTGCTGATCTGAATGTGCTTTTGGAAGACTTTATCAAGGCTGCCATATTTCAAGGGCTTCACAGACTATCATGCAAACATGATAAAGGCGAGAAGTCGTGCTGGGCTGATGGCTGCTGTCACAGCTCACAGAGGAAACTCCCCAGGCCCAGGCAGCTCATCCTTCTGTGGGCTTTTCAATCCCCAGGGCCGTGCTCCACTGTGGGTGTGTTTCCCTGGCCTGGAGTGTGAGTGTACAAACTCTAATTACAGCTAATACACTAATCCCAGGTACTGATCTCCACTCCCTGGGCTGCCAAAACCGCTGCAGAAATTGGCCAAACATCAAGGCGAGGGAGTTTTAAGGGGAAATAAAATGCTGATAGGTGCAAGATGCTGTCCATCTCCTGCCTAAATGTTTTCTCGGGGCTCTCGGGATTAAGGTCAGAATCCTTAGGATGAATTTTAGAGTCCTGCACAACGAGAGACACCCTGACCACCACTGTGTGACTCTCCCTTGAGCTTACTGAGTTCTTCAGCCAGCCTGGCTTTCTGCCCATCTGCCCAGGCCATCAAGCCTTGCCCTCTGCCTTTCCAACCCCCCCTCCTCTATCCCCAAGTCCCAGCTTAAATGTCAGCGATTCCAGAGACGTCTGACCCCAACATGTGACCAAGATAGCTTTTTTCCCTTTGTTATATGACCCCACAGGACCCTCGCTGTACCAGTCAGGGTTCTCCAGAGGAAGATAATCTACAGGAAGTATGATTATCAAAAGGGGACTCACTAGATTGGCTAACCCAACCAGAAGCTGGACAGTCCACAGTGGCCGTCTGCAGGCTGGGGAGCTGGAGGAACCAGTAGCTGCCCAGTCCAAGAGGCTGAAGCCCCAGAACAAGAGGGATCCATGATGCTACCCCAGTCTGAGACCCAAGGCTTCTGGAAACTCCCTGGAGAATCCCTGGCAGAGTCTGCTTTAGAAGAGTGAAGGAGCTGGTGTCTGAAGTCCTCAGGCCATCATAGCAGCCATCAAGAACCCATCTAAGAAGAATTGAACTTGCATCTTCTGCTGTTGTTCCTCCAACTTTAATTCCATCCAAGACTCCAGCCTATTGGATGGGGCTCTACACTCAGGGAGGGTCTCCTCTCCCATTGGCTATCCCAAATGCCAATCATTCCTAGACACACCCTCACTGACACACCCAGAAGCCTCTTAATCTTAAGCAACTCTTAATCCAATCAAGTTGGCAATTACACTCACCTTTCCCATAAGAACTTATTCTACCATTGAAGCTATACGGTTATATATGTTGTTGTTGTTGTTATTGTTGTTGTTGTTGTTATTATTATTATTATTATTATTATTATTGCTGCCTTTTTTCCTTGCCCTTAAGCACCATATTCCTGGAATATAGGAACTCAATAAATATTTGCTAGCTGAATGAGTGAATAAAATATTGGAGAGATGGAGTCAGATAGTCCCATAAGCCACCTTGGGACTTTTCCTATATGCTTGGAAGACACCCTGTTACCAATACTGATATTTCTGGTCTCTGTATTGGTGTCCCCAATATGTACATGATCTTCAGGTAGAAAGGAGGTCCTTCTCAGGACACATGAGTAACTCAAAGAAAAACTGCTTAGAGAAGACTGAGAGGAAGGTGTGGAGACACCAGGTGGTGACAAGGTAGTAAGATGGGAGAGCGAGGAAGGGTGAAGGAGAGGAGGTAGTGAAGTGGTGGAAGGAGAACAAAAAGAGGCGTAGTTTTAAGGGCTCAGAGATGATCATGACAGATCATTTTTACTAAGTTCTTAAGTATGGGGAAATGGAAGAGAAAATTCCTGATTAAAACCTTCCCTTGGAAGAAAAAATTGCTTATGCAAACTTTTTAGAGTGTATGTTTTAAAAAAAAATTGTGGCCTGCTGACAGCATATTATAAATGATACTGATTTGAAAAATTGTTTTTATAAAGACAAACAGAACACTAACATTCCTGCTAGCTATACGCAAACTATTAATGATTTTGATTTCAAGTTAATACTTTCTATAGGGGAGAACAGAGGGATTCAGAGAGCATCTAAAGTCACTAGGAACTCGTGTATTATCACTGGTAGTAATAATTCCCAGAATGTCGCTCACTCAGAACAGTCTAACTAAGTGATGCAGGATGAAGATGGATGCCTGAGGGCCCCCTTTGCAAAGCCCCAGCTTGTGGAAGAGGACCTCGTAGGCAGCACCAGATTGGTAGGCTACATTCTGAGCTCATTTTAACTGAAAGTGTGACAAGACGCTGCACTTCACAGGATGGCCATCTGATTCTTAGCTGAAAGCACCACCCAGAGAATCACGTGTTGCCAAGGTTTCAAGTCCAATGTGCAGATAAGTCACTTCCGTATTCTGTATTTTTAGAAGACGTGTTCAAACTGCAATTGGCTATATTTAATAAGTGGGCCACATTAGGACTCGTTAGTTATACATGACATTTCTTACTTTCATTTCTGTTATTCAAGATGTCTTTGTTCACGGTCCCCCTTTTTAAAGGGAATGGTTATCAGGTATAGTTGCTCTCACTGTTTTTTAATTTTTTATTCTCCAGTCATGCACTGATGTTGACAATCTCATGATGCGGGGAGGAAAAAAAAGTTAAAACTGGAGGCAATCTCTCCTTAGTAAGTGCTCCATTCACTTTCAAGCAAAGATATTGGAATATAGAGGTTTGACAGAGTCTCGAAGTCAATTTCAATACGTTTCTGACATAATTAAGATTTCTCTCAAAAGTGTCCCTGGCCAAACTCTGCAGGTAGCAGCAGAGGATGACAATGAGCTGGCCTTGGAAATAATTGTTAAAAATGGCTACATCTGAATCCTGGGTCATAGGGAATTATACTTCACGCGCAAGCCATCAATCAGCAAAGATTTCTTTCTTTTTTTTTTTTTTAACCCCACCCTATGTCCAGTCTGACACCTAATCCTGTGAATTTTGCTTCCAATACGTTTTGTATCTGCCTATTTCCACTATGCAAACTACTACAATGTCGGCCCCTCCCTGGGCTTTCTTTAATGTCCCTTCCACATGGCAATACAAGCCATCCTTTAAGAGCACAAATCTGCTAAATTTGATCTTACAGCACGATGGCTATCACTAATAACGATGTGCTATGTGTGCTTGAAAGTTGCTATGAGAGCAGATGTAGACTGTTCTCGCATAAAAAATAAGTGTACACTGGAATGTGTTAATTTATTAGCTTGATTTAGACATTTCACAATGCATACATGCATGAAACGCCATCTTGGATATAATTAATCTATCCAAATTTTATTTGTCAACTATATCTTGGTTTAAAAGAAATAAAATAAAAAGAAGCACTCTGAAACAGAACAAAATAAAACTTACTCAGGGTGCAGTGGTGCACGCCTGTAATCCCAGCAGTTCAGGAGGCTGAGACAGGAGGATCAAGTTCAAAGCCAGCCTCAGCAACAGCGAGGCCCTAAGCAATTCAGTGAGACCCTGTCTCTAAATAAAATAGAAAAAAAAAAGGCTGGGAATGTGGCTCAGTGGTTGAGTGCCCCCGAGTTCAATCCCTGGTACTCCCACCACTGTAAAAACCAAAACCAAAAAACTCACAAACATAGAACTATATGACTCTTTTGCATAAATCCCTCAATATACCCTTTGAACTTAGGATAAAGAAAAACTCTTTACTCTTATCTAATGCTTTCCTATTTTCTCCAAACCCATCTTGTATCACTTTTCCTTGATCTTCTATTTCCACCTGCAAATTTCAAGTTCATTAAATATACAAATGCACCCATCTGCCATGCTGTCCTTACGAATCCTGGATTAATCACCCTCAGATTAGAGAACTGAGGGTGGCACCACTTATGGTAAAAAAAAAAAAAGTTATAGGTACTTTTTAAGTCATTTTTGTAATTATATTATCCAATGATAACTAAATTAATGCTACCAAAATGAACAGCAGCCTGTGTAAGATAACGCCTACAACGAAACTCCAGTTTCAAATAATACAAAAGGAATCACAAGAACCACGAGAAAAAGGCAGAACAGACACTTATACTCCAAGCCAATATTTTATGTTAAAAACTATAACCAAGTTAGATCTGCCATGATGTAAAGTTAAAAAAGCAATTGTCAAAAAAAAATTAGATTTCTTTTTGTTCCTTATTGGTGCCATCCATAGCTACTGAATCTTGAGATATTGCTGATGGTATGAAAGCACAGTTATCAAGATTTCAAAATGAAGCATATGGAATATTATTAATATACTTAAGAACACAAGCCTCATTTTACTATCGACAAAATGAGAACGACTTTTCAAACATTTCTTTTTTCTATTTCTTATCCTTTTTAAGATTTTCATAATACATGTACATAACTTGCGGATAAATAAATACAGAAAGAATAAATAAATACAGAAAGAAAACATGCTTAGGATTCACATCCGATTTCCTGGTTCAGAGTCTCCAGCAGCAACAGGAACCTGCAACTTAAGACAGCTCCATGAGAGATTTGGAAGTGCACATGGGATTCATTCATTCATAGTTAACAAACACTCTTGTCTGCGACCCTCTGGGTGCACGGTGGTGGCAGTGGACAAGGCAGACGGGCCATCACTCTCCCGGGGCTAGCATTTTAATGGGAGAGAATCAGAAGTAAATAAACAGAAGGACACCTGACATTGACACCTGTTGCCACGTAAATAAAACAGTGTTAGAACTGGAACTCGTGTGGGTCTCAGGAAGGCCTCTTATGGAGATGACACTTCAGCTGACAGCCAACTGACAAGAAGGATCCAGTTGTGCGAACACATGGGGCAAAAGGGTTGCAGACAGAGGGGACATCCAACTGCAAAGTCCCCAAGTGCAAAAAGATGAGATCACACAGCTAGCATTGGGGACAGCGATCAGACGTAAAGTCCAGGTGGGGAGACTTCACTCCTATAAGCTACTGAAGTCAGAGAAGGAGTATGAATGTTGTGTTCAATGAAATGGGCAGCCACTGGGCGATCTTTCACTGAGGCATGATCAGATCTGATGATTCCTCTTCTTAAAGAGTTGAGTCTGGCTGTCAATGAAACGTCAAGGCGAAGTGTCAGGTGAGGCCCCACCCGCCCCCGGCCTCCCATCTAACAGAGGGTTTTTAAAGCCTAATGCCAAGCTCAGAACAAAAGAGGGATATTGGGATATGAAGCAAATAAATCAACAATGTAGAATAATAAACACTGGAACCAAAGAATGAGTGAGTCAAAACCAGGAGTGAATTATAGCCCCTGGGAAACTCGCCCCCTCTCCATTTGTGACCCTTGCAGTCAAAAAGTCGAGACCACTGGCCACTCCTGTTCTGGATGGCAGCCAGATGCGTGCTCCTATTTCAGCAGAGTGCATTCTATGATTAATCTTAGCCTTCCTCCCTTCCGTGGAGGTAAATCATCTAAATGTTTTGCTCCGGGGGAAAAGAGATATGGTAAATGATCACTTCAAACATACCCTTTAAACTTCTTTCCGTGAAAGCAAGTTTTTAAACCCTCACATTGAAGTGGGAACTCAATGATGGTAAACAAACACCCGGCTTCTCCTGCCAGGATCTCAAAGGTGACCCCTGGGCCTGTCATCAATGCCCGCAGGCTGTAACGACAGACAAATCTCTGCTCTCCTCTTTGACTTTACTCCCAACTATCAGAAGCCAGCCATGGCCCCGGGTAAGATAAGAGATGCCTGTGGTCTCTCCCACCTAAGTTCTTTGGGGACTTGCTTTCCCTCTGGACCTGGATATCTCTCCCTGATTTGCACATCTCTTCCCAGGGTCTGTCTAAGTAGAAAGCTTTTTTGATCTACAGCTCAGTTAAAGGTGAGGTCTGTATTTCCAACATCCGGTGCAGGCTGCCCCTGGGGTGACATTAATCTTGTGCCTTTGCCAGGTCCAGACAGTAGGTGGACAATGTTAATCTCAAGATTCACCAGACATAGAGCCATCAATCTGCCTGGGGTGAGAGAGTCTCTTGGCATTTTCTATTTGTTCCTCAGAAGACTGAAGGCTCTGTTTGATCCTCCATTGCCTCTGCCCTGGGAGAATGAATGACCCTTAAGATCAAGATGTACTTCCCTCAGAGAATCTCAAATCCAGAACAGTGGAAAAGAAGAGCCAAAGCCCCAACCGTTTACTTCAGTCCCCAAGTCAGAAATTCCAGGGGGAGACACGGCAGAGATACGATATTTAGGTATTCTGAGATGTTTTGCCTCCCCAAAGAACAGAGCAAAGCTAGATAGTTCTTAATTTGAAGTCATGTTCTCTAATGAGTATCTCTGAGGATTTTCCAGTTGTAGAATTCATGGTGCTTTAAAAACAAAATCTGCGTTAGGGTGAACTTCATAAATACCCGAACTATAAGTTGTGGATAAGAGAATACGATCAATGAGCTGCATATCTGCAGGACATTTTCCCCAAATCCAAATGTTAAAAGAACAAACCTGAAAATCTTCCTATGCATAAAAAGATCCGTGAGGCAATCGTGCCTACAAAGTCAAAGGCATTGTTATCCTCATTATCTCTTGTCTGCATGAACCACTGGTAAGTGATCACTGTGTGTGTGTGCGTGTGTGTGTGTGTGTGCCTACGTGCCTACCTGTCTCTCTGCCTCCCTTTCTCTCTTTTCCTCTCCTCCTCCTCCTCCTCCTCCTCCTCCTATCTAAGAAATCTTAGAGGTATTAAGAGTTATCTCTTAACTCTTTCTGTGGCTTAGGAGGCAACTGTCTTAAGGTGGACCAGCTGACTTCCTGAGACACTGTCCACTGAGAGCTTTGTGATCAGCAGGCGATTCCCTGTATCAATTAAAGGATGTCCTTCCTACGCAGCTCAAGATGGCGCTTGAACTCTGTTTTTTACCTCTGGGATCGTTCGTGTTCTAAAGAACACCCTAACATAGCAGAGGAAAGTGTTTTATTCCATGTGGGAAGGAGGAGCGGGGAGCAGCTGGCGGATCTCCGAGTGGAGAAGGATTCTGAGGCCACATTCTTCTTTAGTGGGTAAGTGCACCCAGACCATCAGGTGTGCCACCTGTGGGAACGGGAATCTGAATGGAGACACCTGTCCCCTTTTAGCCACCTGCCCCTTGGTGTGTGTCCACCATGACAGGCGTGGACAGCACCGCTTAATTTGCCCTGTCACTTCCTACTCTCTCTGTTAACCAGATATTTTTCTCCTCCTTTTTTTCTAGCTTATCTCCAAATCAGGGAACAGGCCCTAGACAATCCCTTTAAATTCAGTTTAACTGCAGTTTAGCTCAGACTTTGTGTCCAGGCTTATTTTGTTAAGTTATTTGTTTAACAGTAAGCCTAAGTAAGAATGTCATAAGGATATGCCCCCAAGATATTATATTTATTTATTTGGTACCAGGAATTGAACTCAGGGACAATTGTCACTGAGCCACATCTCCAGCCCTATTTTGTAGAGACAGGGTCTCACTGAGTCACTTAGCACCTCTCGCCAAATTGCTGAGGCTGGATTTGAACTTGTGATCCTCCTGCCTCAGCCTTCCGAGCCGCTGGGATTACAGGCATGCACCACCGTGCCTGGCCTATATTTACATTGTAACTCAATGTTGGGAATTCTAAGTCACGAAGAATAAACAGACAATTTTGTAGCTTGCTGCACCACACCAAGATGGCCAGTTTTCCCTTCTGTCAGGATTTTAGTCGAACCTTCTTTGCAGATGAAAGCAATACTCAAGAAAGTTTGGTTGCCTTAGGATTAACATCCTATAAAAAGTGAACCATGGGCCTGTGCACAGAAGGTGCCAGCATCTTGTAAATATGCAGAAAAGATTTGGGTTGCAATTTTTATTATAGTGCAATTTGCCACTTGAAACTAGATCAACATTCCACATTCAATACTCATGCAGATTTCAGCCCTTCTAAAAAGTGGTAACCAGGAAACACAGTTTAAGAAATAAACCTGCTCTACAAAAATAACCTGAAAGGAGAAGTGGCAAATACATATTTGTAGTCAGTCCTGTGAATCATGAAACAGATTAGTTCATTATCCAGAGACATAAAAATCGTCCTCTAAATTGATCTCCGATTGCACCAGGTCTTCACTGACTCATTACTAAATTATTTGCCAGTGAATGAATTTTCTTTTCTCCAAATGCTTTTGAGCTGGGAGGAGTTGGCACTGACAAATGATTTCTGAAAGGAGAGAGGTTATATATCCACATAGCCCCTGAATCAACTGGTTATAAAATTAAAGAATTCTGTTGAGCCACAGAATTTTTTTTATATCACTTATTTTGCAATGCTCTCTTTGCTAGTCTGAAATAACACCCACAGTCATATAACCTACCAACAATTTCAGTAAGTAAAGCAAGTTGGCATTGATAGGAAAGAGGGGAAAAATGAAAGCCATTTATCATAATATACTATGCATTTCAATGTTTGCATGTTTGGGCACTAAAACCAGAAATCATAACGGAGCATGGCATGATTTGATCTGTGCACCCAGAAACACAAAAGCTACAAGGACTCCCAATCTTGGGAGCAATCAAACTGTGCCCAAATATTTCCCACCCCAGTGCCTAGAGACCTACCATTTCCACAACTTCAAATGGTTGGTGGAAGGGTCTCTTCTTAGTATTGTTTTCAGGCTTAATTCACTATTGGCCTGGCTTTTCTATTATTGCTGCTTCCAAGTAGAAATCTCTCAAAAATCCAGATCAGATCTTGGCATCCCCAGTCCTGCCACAGGTTGGTACCCCCAGAGGCAATGGTGGAAAGTTAAGGCTAAAAAAATAAAATAAAATAAAAATAGAGCCCTCTACACACACACACACACACACACACACACACACACACACACACACACACTCCCAGGTCTGTCTCTTCGGTAGAAGTCACAGGGTTTTTCTCTGATCCCCTTGGCTAAGCCTCCAACATCATCCTTGTATCCATCCCACGCTGGATTCTATTTCTCACCAGGAAAGAAAAGCATTTGAACTTTCTCCCTCACCTTTGAAGTGGAGGCCAAAGAGGGTGGAAAGACTCTTACCTTGACTGAGAGGGGGATGATGAAGTTCTTTTCATTAGATTTTACCAGGCTCAATACTTCCGGGAGAGAAAAAAAAAAAAAAAAAGGATACATTACAACCTCTGGTTTGTCCTTCTTACATTACCCTGGAATAAAAATCAGTTTGAATTTCTCCTCTGGGTGACTCATAGAGATAAAAAGAAAGGAAAAAAAAAGTCAAAGCCCTCCAAAATGTCAACAGTCTGCTTCCTACTTTGCTGTAGACCTGAGATGAGATCTCGAGATTGCTAACAGAATCATTGATGTTTTGCATCCCCATAGCATCTTAGAAGTGTCACGGTATACATTATCTTCCTTCATTGTTTTGCCCGGGAGGAAGGAAAATTCAGTGTTATTAACATCATTTTTAAGATAATGACTCTGAGACTGAGAGGGAAGTAATTTGTCAAAAGTGTGGCTACCCAGAGGTAGTTCAAAGACAAGGATCCAGGTCTTCTGGCTACGGATACCTTCTTTCCATTCATGCACTGATTTACAAGAAGATAATCCTAACTTGTGTGTGGGGGGGAAATCTCCTGAAGAAAATAGATAAGATCCGTGATTGGCCCTATGCAATAGTTAAAAATAAGAGCATCACCCAAATTCTAATTTCCTTTCAATGTTGAAGGAGCACAATAGGGAATGCTACCTGATGTCAGGACTCAGGTTTCACGTGGAGCAGATTTCCAAAGAACCCATTGGTATGTCAGAGAGTTGCCTACTTAGAACTCCGTCTCTGGTTTTCAGACTGCACCATTTCTTGGTGTGGATGCCTCCCTTCACTCTCCTCATAATTCCAAGAACAAGACCTAGCACAAAACAGAGGGTCTCTTTCTGAGCTTAAGATTGAAATGGAACCTTCTAGAAAAATTCATTCTGAGACATCTCCCAGACAACGTCATTATTTTTCATGGTCAGAACTGCATCTGAACTGCATCTCATGGCCATCTCTAAAGTAATATGTTGGGGGGGGAGGTCCCTGATTGGCTCAAACAAACCAGGATTGGCCCTTTGGCTAGAGAGAGTGTCCTCTTTTCCGAAGGGAGAGATCTGGGGGTAAAAGTGGAGTCCCTTGAACATGTAAAAGACATACACACCCTTCCCCTGGTGGGTGCACACAGAAGGCAAACAATGTTGTCTGCTGCATAAACTTCTAAGAGCTATCAAGAAATTCCCATTTTCTAAGTTTCCTTCTTTTGGAAGATCCTTCAACCACTTCTCCTATACTTCAGACCTTCCAGACGGTCTGGCTGTAAATCTCTTCTGAAAGCCATTATTGCTTTGTTGTTGGTAAGGGACTCTGTTCAATCCCCCCACCCGCAGGCCGCCAAACCAAACCATCCAGTGTGTTTAAAGGGTTTGTTCATTTGCGAATCACTGTTATTAACAAGAAACTTAAAATCTGCCTTTCTCGGAGTATCTGCTGGGTACCAGCTATTGTGCTAAGTGCTCCATGTTCCTGGACTTATGTAACTGCCATGGTATCCTTAGAATACCACTTTTCTCGTTCTTCTTGACCAATGAAGAGAGGTTAAGTATGAACACAAGGTCACACATCTATCAGTGGCAGAGCATGTCCCTGAACACATGCTATTCTGGCTCCGCAGTCTATACTCTTTTGAATATATCTCAGATTAGATGCTATGATGGTTATCAGTTCCATATTCATAATTACTCACCGTTCTGGCCTTCCAAATAGCTTAGTGCAGAAAGTGCTGATATTCTATCTGCAACAGAGTTTCTGGAAACAGAGATAAAGGTCACCAGATGAGTGACTCAGAGGATGAACTTGAAATTAAAGAGTCTTCTGCCTCCCAGCCAGAGCTCTCCCCCACCCCACATCATGAAATGCCTCATCCAAGACACCAGCCCTTCTTAGCATCTCATGCTAGGTGATGAGGTTTACCTTGATAGACTCAAACTTGACAAAAGAGAAATGTGGTCCATGGCCTCAAGACAAGTCAAAGGTAATGGGTAGGTGCCATCGTTCCTGCAGGCATCCAGAATGTCCTTCTGGAGGTGATGGGCCCTATGCAGTTCTTGTTGACTAGGAGAAGAGAGAAGTGAAGTATCTGTTTCATTCTGTCCACAGGACAACGTTGCTTATGCCACATTTGGTCCCCTGTCATTCAAAAGAGCATCTTTGCCGGTCAGTCCCACTGAATCAGACAAGGGAAGGAAGGGGGAAAGAAACTTAGGAGAGGTGAGCCAAACACGCTGACTACTCTAAACATGACCTACGGTCAACAGCAGAACTCTCCATTTCAGAATGCTAAGAAAAGCATCCTCGGGCTGGGCAAAGTACGAATTTTCTGTGGGAAAATCAATGCTTTCTCTTCCCAAGCATCTATTAAACACTTTCCAAAAGGTTCCTCAGCTTTAATGTGGAGGAAGGCCACCGTGCTTAGTCTAAAACCTATGGTTCACAAATGGAAGTTGACTGGATGACCCACCATCTGTCCTTACACAAAACACAAAGGTCACTGGTTCAGGCTTAGGGCAGACTTCGCCTGGGACCAGAGGCAAGAGGAACACTTTTGGTAACTGCTACAGGAAGTGTAAGAAGTCCATGTCCCCCAGGACTCCTATGTGAGATTGTTCTGCTGGTGTTTATATGTTAGAGGGTGTTTTGTGCAGTTAATTCAGAGAATATACTGAGTGATTTTTGAAAGCCATCATAAACCCAGAACTTTATCTTCTATTCTTTTGCCCTGTCCAAAGTGGGGGGCAAGTCCCCTATCTGTCATGGTACTCTTATTGCCACATTGCCCACTGCTACACCTCTTACACACACACACACACACATCATGAAACACCTGAACTGTCACATCCTTGATGAGACCTTGAAGCCTCAATCTGAAGGAGCCCCCAGGCCGATTTTCTTCACAGTGCTAACCTGTAAGCGGTCCTTCTCCTCCACGTTAGTTACTTGTTCCCCACGGATCATAAGGTCCATGAAATGTGGGCTCTTATCTATTGTAGCAGCTGAGAGAACCTTCCTCTACTGGTCATGGAAAATCCAGACTAACAGTGACTTCCACAAGGTAAACTGAAGTTCTTTCTCTCTTTTTGTAGAAGCAGTTCACAGGTGAGCAGTCCAGAGCTGGTGAGGAGGCTCCAGGATCTTCAGAAAGCACCAGCTCCATGAACTGACTCACTGAACTTAAACAGGTACGTTCTCGCGGGGAGCATTGAGAGTCGTGTTGCCAATTGAGCTGGCTTCTGTATTCTATATTTCTATAGCGTCTTGTACTTTGATGACACGATGCTTTTAAAATTCTTCATTATTTAGAGGCACTTATTTTGGATGTCTGTCATTCTTGCTGGATGCTGATCTTGGAAGGAAAGGATTCTGTTGCTCTCCTTCTTTGCTACATGCTCAGAGCCTAACAAAGTATCTGGGACATAGCGAGGTCTTCATAAACATCTGCTAACTATGAATGAATGGCCACATTGCGTAAGCTGATAAGTGATGGTTTTGGTGAATCCATGCACATCCAGGAAAAGTCTACAAGTAGCCTTTGTTTGAATCAAAAAACAGGCACTTAATGAGTACCTGCTTGCGCCAAAGGAATAAAAATATTGACCCTCAGGGATCTCCTGGTGTAACGAGGAATGTGAGTTGCTAACCGTCTTGTACTGTCTGCTTTCTTTTTTGCTTTAATAACAGAATCTGTACCATCAACTCAAAGGAACGTGGTTGCCTTGTTGGACGATTTCCCCCAAACTTTCTTTACTCAGCTGTAGACATGTGACTGAATTTGGTCAAGGGTTTAAGGGCAGCAATGAGGCATTCAACGTCCGGATTATGATCACATGGGCAGAGCTGCTTCTCCTCCCACCTCCATGGCTGGGAGATGACAGTAACTCCAACCACGTCCAAGTCCAACCCAGAGACAGAAGCCCCTCGCTTAGGACGGCAGTAACTGTGGACTTTCCATTACCAGACTGTTTTGTAAGAGAAAAATAAAACCTCCACCTTATTTAAGTTACTGTGCTTTAGGGACTCTCTCTCTCTCTCTCTCTCTCTCTCTCTCTCTCTCTCTCTCTCGCTGATGTTAAAAATTACGTTAAATCAAGAGGGTAAGCAAATACAATACAGTGTGCTCCATGCTACAGCAATGGGAGCATAAAAGCAGAGCCTAATCTGATCAAGATATTAAGGACTGAAGATAAAAACAGGACATGATTTAAATTACCTATAATTCACCCCAAAACCACAGTGATAGTCAATGTTTCTCATGGAATTTTTTGGTTTTTTTTGTACTGGGGATTGAATTCAGGGCCACTTAGACACTGAGCCCCATCCCCAGCCCTATTTTATATTTTATTTAGAGACAGGGTCTCCCTGAGTTGCCTAGGGCCTCGCTAAGTTGCTGAGGCTGGCTTTGAACTCACGATCCTCCTGCCTCAGCCTCCCAAGCCACTGGGATGACAGGCCTGTGCCATCGTGGCCGGCTTTTTCATGGACTTTAAATGAGTCTTCAGTTGGTTCTGCCACAATGTTGAAGTCTTTTAACTACCTGCTACATACGGTGTTGAGTGCCCCTGCCCATGTTGGGGAAAGCCCTGGAAACACTCACCGAGTCTTCGTTCGTGTTTGGCCACCGCACCTCATCCACTGCCTGCTTAGGAATAAGGTGCCTCGGTTCGGCCAAGGGTGAGCGCTTGAATTCCCTGAAGCCAGAGTCACAGGGTATCTTCCACAGAGGTGGCCTGGAGGTGGGCATGCTCCACTCTGTGGCCAAGGAGTAGGCCATGGACACATTCAGAGTCAAGAGCTTTGTAGGATTTCACACAGGAAAGAAGGAGTCTGTTCCTATCCATGAGATGAAATGGGAGTCGATAGATTTAGCTTCCTGGATGTGTCAAGTACCCAGATGGTTCCATCCAGGGTCTTGTGACTCCTGGGAGCCCTGTCAGAAGTCATGATAAAACTCAGAAGCCAAGGTTGTGGACGAGGACCAGGTCCACATGTTTAGGACACACATAATAGGCTGTGTGACACTGTCAAACATGCAGGACAGGAAAGATTGCGCAGTCCGGCTGCAGCAGAATAACCGGGGGATGACGAATAACTTCTGTACGTTGATACAGCAGGAGTAAAAGCCGTTTATTGTAGAACAACAGAGCTATTTATACATTTTGCACAGCTTATCTTAATTAGCATAAACTAGATACATCAGTCAACCAATAAGGAATCTCCACACTTAATGGCTCGCTTTTGTTACTTCTCAAACCACTCCCTTTGGCATTTTGCCAGGCACCATCCAAACTTGTTTACGAACTCTAATATTCCCCTGGCAAAATACCAGGTGTTATTTTGACTTGTTTACAGACCTTAACAAAAGATTCCCCAGTGTCCACAAAAACCACTGGTAAGAAGAGCCTTTGTAAATTCCTGATCTGTTAGGCAAGTAGGCCCCATTTCAAATAGCAAATTCATTCTTAGACTAATTTGTTCAGACTCTCTTGGGAATCAAATTTGGATGGAGATAATGTCCAAGAAATGAACTAGCTGTAGAAGTTTAGTGTGCCCTTGCCTTTGAAGGATACCGAATGTTGCCTAACTGATAAGTGTTTTAAATTCTCACATTAGCACGCCCACTTGGCTTAGAATGAGCATCAAATCAGCAAATTCATACCCTGCTCTAAATACGCACTGGTACACATCCATCTCAAAATCAAATCCCCGAGTCTACAACTCATTACACTTTTCTCTTGATAGCTCATGAAGTTGTTGCAAGGAGTAAGCAAGTGGATTATATGAACCACCGACCTCAACAACTCAATGAGGAAGGATTATTTACTCTGCTTGAGGTAAATCATGTGGACATGGACCAGGTCCACGTCTGCCAAAAAGGCTCCCGCACCTGGGCGCAATGGTGCACACCTGTAATCCCAGCAGCTCGGGAGGCTAAGGCAGGAGGATCTCCAGTTCAAAGCAAAAGCAAGGTGCCAAGCAACTCAGTGAGACCCTGTCTCTAAATAAAATATAAAATAGGGCTGGGGATGGGGCTCAGTGGTTGAATGCCCCTGAGTTCAATTCCCAGCACCAAAGGGAAAAAAAAAAGGCTCCTTCGACCCCCATCCCTATTCTTGTTGCACATGCTCGTCTCTTCACCAGGAGATGGAGTCAGTCCTTTTCTGTAGCCCTTCACCTGAGGCTTGCCTCACGATTACCTCTGAGCAATAAAAAGCAGCAGAAGCGATATTATGTGATCTCTACTTCCAGGCCCCCACCTTAAGAATTGGCAGGTTCTGGCCAGGTGTTAGGGTGTATACCTGTCATCCCAGTGACTCAGGAGGTTGAGGCAGGAGGATCCCAAGTGTAAGGCCAGACTCTATCTAAAAACAAACAAAAAAGAATAATGTCTTTTAAAAAATCTGAACATGGAGCTCAAACTCCAGTACACCCCTGTACCCGCCCCTCCCCGCCCCCCCAGAAATTAACAGGTTCTACTTTTGGCTTCTTGAGATCCAGCCAAGAAGACTGGGCTAGATGGTGCAATGAAGAGAACACGAAAACCCAGAGGGCCAGCAAGTTCCCACTGCTCCATCCATCCCAGTGGAACCCCCAGGCTTGTCAGTGACGTCACTTGGATCCCACTCTCCCCAGCTCTGGCTAAGCACTCCCAGGTGGTGCGTGGAGCAGAGAGGAGCCACTTACACTGAGCCACCCCAGCCAAGCGCGGACCAGTTTGCAGAATGGTGAGCAACTAGGCTGTCATGATAGTTGTAAGTACTGAGTGGCTGTACGGCCAGAGGTGGCACTAAAACATGAGGAAATTGAAACATCAGAGATCTCCGCCGCCAGGCTAGGATGTGAACTCAGGCTGCCCAGCCCAGGAAACGGCACCTCTAACCACAAGCCTGTGTTGCCTGAGTGGATAGAAACAAGGAATGTGTACAGGAAACAGCGTGGTGTTCAACTCGTACTCGTGCCCTTTAACCTGGGCCTGAGGCAGGACACGTGTGCACCTGGATCGTGGTGCCTAGGTCCTGTCTCCCAGGATTCCCTGAGCAAAGGGAGCAGCTCAGAGGCTGAGCCCTGAGTTAGTCAGGGATCTCAAGTATCAGCTGGATGCTCTTGTCCCAGAACATCTCTGAGTCTCGGTCCATCCAGCTATAAGATGGACCCAGTGACTTTAACTCTCCCATGCACTGCTATGAGGGTTGAGTCAAATAACATACACTGGGTTCCTCCTCAGTACACAGATATGATGGTTTTGAGGGAGACCTACTCCAGCTCAAAGACCTGGCTCCTGATGTTTTTGACATTGCCCTTGGTCGAGTTTCCCGTCTCTTCAGCCCCCAGATGCCTGCCCTCCCACACGATGCAGGTTGATCCTTACTTCTGTACACACTGAGGTTTAGGAAACTCTGTCTTAAGCCTCCAACTGATCGCCAAGTCTGAGACACCCCCCTTGCAGCCCAGTAAACCCTTTCTGCACCCCTGGTCATGTTAAACAGTAAATAAATCACCTCCGGATCAAGGCAAAGCACTTTCCAAAGGTCTTTCCCTTTTCTTTCTTCTCTTATCATCCATCTTTGGGGCAAGCCAGGGTATTTTTTTTTTTAATGACATCTAAGCTCTCTGCTCCCGTGGGCATCGGATAGAGTCAGCTCTCTCTGGGCCTGTTAGAACCCAGTCCCCCGCTCTCTTTTCCCAGGAACTCAGATGCGCAGACCACTAGAGGGATAGCACGAGCCCCCACACCTCCCGGCTGCCAGACCTGCTCCGAGGGCTCCTCAGTCCAGCTGGGTGGAGAGGGGCAGGTCTTCCCACCAAAGGAGTTCCTATTGCAGCTTTTTCTTTTCTAGGTAAGGTGCCGCAGTCTGGCTGGGCACAATTCAGGAGCCACTTGTCAAAAGAAAGGAACTTTATTTTTAGAACTACTCCCACAATCCTCCTGCTCTTGAGGCCGATTGGCTGGGTTGCGTGGGCGGAGCCAAAGAAGTCCCCCAATGAGCAGCTCCATGGTCTGAAAGGGCAGGGAAACAGCCCAATGAGCATCACTGCAGAGGAGCCAATCAGCTAGATGTTGCTGGGGCTGCTGTGAGCCAATCATCAGCTGGCAGTCTGAAAGGGCAGTGGAAACAGCTCAATGAGCATCTCCAATGAGCATCACCACAGAGGAGCCAATCAGCTAGATGGTGCTGGGGCCGCTGTGAACCAATCATCAGCCGGCAGCTGGAAGTTTGCTGGCAGCTGGAAGTTTGCTGGGGCCCCTTTGGCTGTGGCTCTCAACACTAGGTAAGGTGCCTATACCTTGGCACAGCCATGACTGATTCCTTTCACCTGAAACTATTCCTGAATATAGAAAGAAAGCTCCAGAATCCCAGTTCCCTTTGCTAATGCCACAACAGTCTTCACTTTCCACCAACCAGTCTTCAAAAGGTTCACCCATGATGCCCATGCCATACTGGGAGCTGCCATGTTCCACCTAGGCAGGCATTGGGAGGGGGGTCTCCTCTTTTCCAGAGTTTCTTGAGACTCAACTTAGAGCTTCGTGGTCTGAGCGGGGTGCCTCAAAAACCGTAGGTCACCTTCAAGTCCTCCACCAATTTTGGACTTTCTCCTGCTTCTCGGGATAGCCTGAGAGACTCGCTTTTAGAACACCCTGGAAGAGCATGAGGCCCAGTCCTGACATGGCTCACGTGACCTGCAGGGAGAAACCAACTGCTGTCACATCCAGAATCCATGGTTTCTACAATAGGTAAGTCAATCAGTCAATAAATCGCCGGCAGCACTTCCAGAGGGTTTCCCTAGAGGCAGAAAGAACGTTTTACTCAGGAAAGAGGGACACAGTCCCCCTGACATTGGCTCACTTTCTGAAAATGTGGAAGACCACCGATGAAGAGACCAACCCAAGGTCTCCTCCCAGGCCTCTTTAACTTACATAGATGAGATGGGGGCCCAGATCGCGCTCCCCCCACCCTGCCAGCTATTAGGGAATAACCGACGGGAAGATCAAAGTGTCCGAAAAAAATACCAAGATGATATTTTTGTCCCCAAGCCATTTCTCCATGGTTTGATCACCCAGGGCACAAGGATGTCAGAGGAGACGCGGCTGCGGCTGGTGGAAGGCCGGCTCTCTGTGTTGGTGGCCTGGTAGACGGAGTCCTTCTTCCTTTGGGATCTCATCAGCTGGCAGCTGGAAGTTTACTGGGGCCCCGCCAAGGTCGTGGGTTCAATCCCCATACAGGCCACCAAATGCCGCAGTCTGGCTGGGCACAATTCAGGAGCCACTTGTCAAAAGAAATGAACTTTATTTTTAGAACCACACACGCCAAATAAAACAGCTCCTCAGGAAAAACCCTCAGAGCCCAACTGCCACCACCGGCTTCCCACAAGCCTCTCACCCCAACACCAGCCTCTCCACCTCCCACAATCCTCCTGCTCTTGAGGCCGATTGGCTGGGTCATGTGGGCAGAGCCAAAAAAGTCCCCCAATGAGCAGCTCCGTGGTCTGAAAGGGCAGGGAAACAGCCCAATGAGCATCACCACAGAGGAGCCAATCAGCTAGATGTTGCTGGGGCCGCTGTGAGCCAATCATCAGCTGGCAGCTGGAAGTTTGCTGAGCCCCTTCGGCTGTGGCTCTCAACAGGATCTAGAGTGTGGAAGGTGGAAGGGATGGGGAAGGACAGCCAGATGGGGCCTGGAACCCGGCCACTGCAGGGGTTGGAGGCCACCTGCTTGTCCAGCAACTTCATATTCCAGACGATCCCTCGTGAGAAGTCTCAGGTCTGCCTCTGTGTTTTTGTACCAGCGTGGCCCCCTTCACCTGGGACATGGTGACACCTGGGGAACATTTGTTCCTATTTTACAAATTCCCACACCTTCCTTTGTGACAACTTTCTCTGGCCCTTGAGGTTCCCTCTGTTCTACGCAGCAGGTCGAACGCACGTCTCTGGGGCGCAACCTGCTGGAAACATCTATCAGAAGCCGTCCCCATGGCCATTCAATCCTTGCAGTTCCTCCAGGCTGAGAAGCCACGTGTCTCCTGTGTGTCCCTGCTCTCTTGCAGCTAGGTGGGACCTGACTGGCCGGCTCTGAGCAGCTGTGACACAGGCCCCTCCCACTGAGGATTACAGTTAAGCTGGGGATGATGGCCCCCTTTCCCCGCACTCTTTTTTTTTATTTGTTCTTTTTAGTTATACATGACAGTAGAATGTATTTTGGCAGATTATACATACAAGGAGTCTAACTTATTCTAATAAGGACTCTATTCTTGTGTTTGTACATGATAGGGAGATGTCTTGGTTGTGTATTCAAATACAAGGCTAGGAAAGTTCTGTCTGATTAACTCTATTGTCCTTCCTATTCCCCTCCCCGCCCTCCCTTGTTGTGGGTTAGCATCTGCATATCAGAGAGGACATTCAGCCTTTGCTTCTTTAGGACTGGCTCATTTCAGTTAGCATGAGAGTCTCCAGTTCCATTCATTTACTGGCAAATGCCTTGATTTCCTTCTTCTTTATGGCTGAATAATATTCCTTTGTGTATATATAACACATTTTCTCCATCCATTCATCCATTGAAGGGCATTTAGGTTGGTTCCACAGCTTGGCTATTTTGAATTGAGCTGCTATAAACACTGATGTGGTTCAGCACTGTAATATGCTAATTTTAAGTCCTTTGGGTATAAACTGGGGAGGGCTGACTGAGTCAAATGGTGGTTCCATTCCAAGTTTTCTGATGAATCTCCATAGGGCTTGGCATAGTGATTGCACCAATTTGCAGTCTCACCAGCAATGTAGGAGTGTGCCTTTCTCTTACATCCTCACCCACATTTATTGTTGCCTGCATTCTTGAAAATTGCCATTCTGACAGGAGTGAGACAGAATCTCAGAGTAGTTTAAATTTGTATTTCTCTAATAGCTAGAGATGTTAACATTTCCCCTTTCCTGAAAGCCGAACACTGAAGTGGCTATGTCATAAGATGGAGGTGACCTAGAACACAGCTGTGTCCGTGAACATATTGTCCTCGTCTGGAGTGTCACCTGTCTCCCAGTAGATTTTATGTCAGTGAGGCATGAAACTCTGCTCTATTGAACACCTGAGTTAGGGAAGATTGGTGAGTGCCGCATGACCCATCCAAACCCAAACAGCCCTAGGAGACAGGGGCTCCTATTGTCCCCCTTTCTAAATGAGAAAAGCTGATGTACCAGGAGGGAAGCCATTTGCATAGGGTGACCCCAGAATAGCCCCCCACTCATTCACATGATCCCATCCAAATGAGCCCCAAACAGCCAGTTAGAAAACCCTCAAGCTAACCAGTAAAGGAATTGATTACTAAAAGAAAGCAACTGTTTTCACTAGTTTGGAGACTGAATGGACGATTAAGCTCAATGTAAACAACACACACATTCGAGGTAGAAAGAAAAATGAAATGTTCCACAGAGACACTTCCACTCATTAGGTTGCTTCTCTCTCGAATTTTCTCTTTAACTATTCAGCCGCCTGCTGGTACCCCATCCATATACTATCAATATTTGTACCATCACCCAAGTCAAATTCTTTAGTGTTTTTTTATCAGATCATTTACATACTGATACCTTCCTTCACTCAGCTCACATCTCGTAAGGGTCCATCATGTGCTGGGCACAGTCTCTACAGTCCAGAGCAGAAAAGAGACCATCTGAGATCCAGACGTGAATCTTCATGTGTAGTAAGAAGGCACCCAGGGCTCAGAGGACAAGGAGCCTAGCTCTGGCCAGAATAGGTGGCCATAGAACCACCCCCGCAGGAGACCAGGGCAGAGCACCTGGGCATGCAGAACCCAAGCAGGAATCCAGGCCGTGCGGAATGGGAAGTCGGGAGAAAGGAGGGACAGCAGAGTGGAGACTGATCCTAGGAAAGAGGGCCTGGGAGACCTGAGAGGAGCCTAGTAGAGACTGGGACAGTCACAAAGCGATGACTAAAAAGGAGTATGGAAAGGCAAACAGATGCCAGAGAAGAGAGGGCATTCGAAGGCAGGTTGGGGCAGTCCCCAATTATTCAGCATCCCACTTGGCTCTGGGGCGTGGTGCTTAAAGCAGAGGCTACTAATTATTCTCGCCTACCCTTTTCTCCATAAAGGACAGTTGTTTTGTTTTGTTTTGTTTTTAGCCATGCACAGGCCACCTGGAATAAAAACCTACATTTCCCAGAACCCCTTCCAAACTAGTTATGACCTTGCCACTAAGCAGCCACTACGGAACATGAGCAGACAGTTTGCAAAACCTTTAGGAGTTCCCCCGCAAAGCAAGGGCCCTTTGCTGATCTTTACTGCTCATCAGAATATGGATGTAAGGGCTGGAGGTAAGAGCCATCTTGGATCATGAAATACACACAGGAAAGGAAACTATAGGGGGCAGAGAAGTAGGAAAGGAGAAATCTTGTTCTCTGATGCCACAGACCACCAGATGGACTTCCTCCAACTCTTCAAATGTAAAAAGAAACTCACTGGTACCTTCTGTAAGCCACTGTTATTTGTAGATTTTCTGCTATTCACATTGAAATGTAGTCTAATCCAGGGCTGAATATCAAACACACACACACTTATTAAATCCTCCTCCTCCCTCTATCTAGTCATTCCACACGTTTTCAGACATTGGCATAATCATAATGGGAAAATAAGTTTTACCTTGAGAACTCAACCCAAGGGGAAAGATTACTACAAACCTGGGGAAAAGTCTGTAAAAGCAAAAACTATTTACAGAAGAGCTGCATTTGCAATTAAGATGTGTTCATTTAAGACCAGGCGCAATGGCACACGCCTGTCATCCCAGCAGCTCGGGAGGCTGAGGCAGGAGGATCGCAAGTTCAAAGCCAGCCTCCGCAACAGCAAGGTCCTAAGGAACCCAGTGAAACCCCA